AAACTTAAGTCATCATTGTTTTATATGGCAACTAGCCCATTACATGCTCTGTGGCAAATCAAAGCCACTTTTTTGTCCATTCTGAATGGGTCAGACCAATGATAGTGGAGCCAGTATGTAAGGGAAATATGATATGTTGCAACATCTGAACTATCCATGATAAATTATGAGCATCTACATTTGGTTCAAACTGAAATCCCACAGCAGATAGACTAATGAAATATCATGCAATATGCATGTTGATTCACAAGTAAGATTAAAATACAAAATATTAGCATTGAAAGTTCACTTGGTAAGAAATGAAATAACTAATATCACAGTTAAAAAAACAATCAAAAATATAAATTGCAAGCAATAAAAATTTTTAAAGAGAGCAATAAATATAGATATAATATTCTATTTAAAAGAGGTCAACTGAAGTCATACACTTTTTTTATACAGAGCCTTGAAAATTGTCTGTTATGGAGGTGTCTACTTTAGAAAAGTGTCCATTAAGAAAGGTTTCACTGAATACATAATTTAACTCAGTTTTAACAACATCAAATGTAATGACAATCCTGACAAAATCAAATTTTTATTGGTCCCACAATTTTACTATAATACATAATGTTAAAAAACCTGGTTTTAACATCATATTTGAAAAACTTCTGAATTTTCAAAATTTGATCATAAATTTATTTAATAAAGGAAATATTCTAGTAGAGGTACGATTTATAGGGTCAAAATCCAGTTAGCAGCCACTGACCCTGACCTTTCCTAGAACAACTTGTTGGTGTGTCATATTTCCACATAAGGTAGAATTTGCACACTACTAATTGACAACAGGCTTGCAAGGACTGCTGAATTTTAGTAGTGTCAAATCAAGTGAATGAAAATGGCAAATTTAAAAAGAAAAACTATAACATCAGCCCATAAAGTAGTGATAATTAAAGCCATTGACAGTGGGGGAAGATAAGCAGATGTGTATCAAAAGTTGGACTTAACAAATTCTATAGCTTTTAAAAGGTCATTTTTCAAAAAAAAATATATTTCCTCAAAAAATTGATGAAACTTCATGGGTTAATTCCACAGAAATAACCACCTTTTTTTGCCTGGATTTAATCAGAGACAAAAGCTTATCTTCGTATTCTTTATTTACTTATTTACTATGCATTTTGGGTGCAATATTTTTGTGTAACTTGCACCCCTCTTCAGGTTTTACATTTCTATAAATTGGTAAATTTGACTATTACATTTGTTATTACGGTAAATTACAACAATTTTGGATATAGCTACATACCAACAGAATGCCGAAAATCTATCGGGCTAGTTTAATGCTAATTATTAAATAAATTACGTAATCAATTTGGCACTAGAGGTAAGCATTAGGCGCCATCTCTTATTAATATTAATAATTATAAATAAATAAATTAATTTAAACAATTTAGAACCGCTGGAAGAAAAAATCGGCCCGGAGCGGGACTCGAACCCACAACTCCTGCTTACCGTGCAGATGCGTTGCCAGTTACGCTATCCGGACCTCCAGTCCGATCTCCTTTTCCAGCGTATATAAGCTAACTATATAACCATCGACGGTTATTACAACGCCGGCTGGGGACACATTCAGTGCCCACGTCCTACATCTCATAAGGCTCTCAACCGGCCATCATCCGGGCCGATTTTTTCTCCTAGCGGTTCTAAATTGTTTAAATTAATTAATTAATTTATAATTATTATTAATAAGAGATGGTGTCTAACGCTTACCTCTAGTGCCAAATTGATTACGTAATTTATTTAATAATTAGCATTAAACTAGCCCGATAGATTTTCGGCATTCTGTTGGTATGTAGCTATATTGTATATCGGGTTTGGAGATGTTTGTATAAATTTTGGATATATTTGTACAATAGTTAACTAACCTGTTTTATGTTTAGACATACATCTGCCCAGTGTTGATGTTGTGCCCCCTAAGGCATTTTTAGACCATTTTCCCCTCTTTTTGTTTTCTTTCCCTTTAGCTCCTCCCATTTCCTCCCACACGTTGTCAACCTTCATTCCATCATTTAGGTTTATGGTTTTGTTTTTATTAACTATTTCAAAGTGCTCTTTGAATTTTTGTAAGTAACTGCCTTTTTCTCTATGGATTATTTTTACACTTTTTTTGTTGATTGTGCATCCAAATTCCATACAGTGATTTGTCCATGGTGACTGGTTATAATTAAGTCTAATTTCTGCTTTATGTTCTTTTATTCTGGTACCGAGTTGCCTTCCTGTTTCGCCAATGTATATCGCTGGTTTCTTACATGTACATTTTATTTCATATATTACTCCTGTTTGGCTTAGCATTTCGAAGACAAGCTTTTGTCTCTGATTAAATGCAGTCCAGGCAAAAAAACGGTGGTTATTTCTGTGGCATTAACCCATGAAGTTTTTTGAGGAAATATATTTTTTTGAAAAATTGACCTTTTAAAAGAATATAAAGAATGTATTATATCAATGGTGTGGTTACACCATTGATATAACACATATCTATTACTTATAGTAAATTCTACAGCATTTATGATAACAAAAACAGAAAATTTTGAAATGTTTTCGAGATGGCAAGGAACAAGTGAAAAAATCAAGATTTGTGAAAAACCAATATTAACAACACTTAATCAGTGGTTTAATCAATGCAAAAGTGCCAACTTATTGGTAACTGAACCAATATTTATGCAAAAAGCAGAATTTGGATGATTACTAAGCAATGCTAACTTTTAGTTCTAATGGATGGTTGAATCATTTTAAACAAAGACATGGCATAAATTTTGGAAAAGTGCATGGAGAAGCAAGAAGTATAAATCTACAAGACACTGAAAACTGGTTAAGAGACATGTGGTTATAATTACACATACAAAGACATTTGTAACATTGTAACTGAGAATTTTTTTCTTTTATAAATTTCTATCAGATAGAACATTTGAGTTTAAAAATGAAAAGTGTGTAGGTGGAAAACTTGCAAAAGACTAACCATTTTCACATAAAAATACCACCAGTACATTTCAAAGCCAATCAAGTGTCACAGATGACATCTGACATTTTTCAAGAAGAGATTCAAAGATGGAACAGAGAACTTATTGAAAAATGAAAAAAGTTTTAATCATTATTTTTAATTGTTCAGCACATCATGAAACACAACAGCCTAATGTTGTGTTCCATGTTCAATTTTTAGAAAATTGAACATTAGGCTTGTGTTCCTTCTTCCAAATTGCACTAACATATCTATGGATCAAGAAATGTTAAATGACAATACAGAAAAATTATTAGTAATATGGAAGATATTGATAATAAATAAAACAGTAATTTCTTTATTAGATGCAGTAGATTATTTTTGGAAAAAGCTTAGTATAAATTACATACAACACCTTATTTTGCCAAGAAAAACATTTAATAATCACAAACATTTTCAGCTTGTTCTACAAACCATCTTCAAGCATAGAATTACATTCTATCATTAGAATATAACATTGTAACAAAATATCAAATACAACAAATTTAAATATGAATAAAAGAACAGAAAACAACTTTAAAAAAGTGAACATTACACAAAACCAAAATCAAATAATAATAAATGATGAGCATAAAATATACATATAAATACAATCAATATACATAGCTTGGTGTAACATTAGCTCTAGCAATATAAACTGTTATAATCAAGCAGTTATTATCATTAATTTCATATCATTCATTCATATCAGCTTCATTTGACTTGGCTCTCAGCTCTCGTCCAAATTCAGAGCTCAGCTCACAGCTTATCTGTCAAGACCTCAGCTCAGTATTTCCAAATAGCTGAGCTTTGCTGAACTCTAGTCAAAGGATTAATCAAGATTATTTCAATGAAACTGTGACAAATTGCTGGCTGTCTAATAGTGTCTCTTTAGGGAGACTTCTTCATAATTAAAGTATTCCTACTCTCTGCTGCCTGGAAGGAATACATAGCAATCCTAGTGCAATCAAATTTTGTATGCTAATATTTCAGGATATGTGAAAGAAATGTCTACAGGAAAATTTAGTTCAAACTTATCGCTACAAGACTTGTGTGAGTGGAAAAAAAAATTTGTTCAATTTCTTAAGAAATCAAAACTCTAAGTATACCCACAATATTGTTTTTATAAAACAGCTTCAAAAGAAAAAAGCATTCTGGTTAGGTCATGACCATCACAGCTGTGCGACAATAATACAAATGACATTTGACATGCCAAGGAAAGTTTTATAACCAGAAATTGCCTATAATATTTATGCATTATGCATAGGATATATGTTTTTTTCCCATCACACATATGCATTTATTAGTAAATAAAATAAAATCATATACATAATAAATTATTATTTCAGACACTCACAGCATATAAAATATCTACATCAGAAATAAAATCAATTATACAGAACTTGACCAATAATTAGTAAAGCATTTTGGAAAAACAGATAATATTTTTATTGTTCCTGCATTTGTCTATTCCTCAGGTTTTACTGTATCAATTATAAAGAAGTATAGAAATATTAAATCATAACTTTAATACCATATTACAGAAACTGGAAATACTAAATATATGTCATAAAGTTAAAACTTACTGAACACATACTAACAACATAAAAAGTTAATAGTTGTAAATTTAATAAGTAGTTTTGCTTTGAACTTAGTCTGACATAATATTTCATGAAGAGAGAACCAGAGAGTTCTCTAACTTAGAAACAATTTTATAGCAGAACCATTTCAAGTTTAAAGTTTCACCAGCATTTATAGATTAGAACCAAATTTTCAGGTCAAAACTTGTCTCTCACACTCTTACTGCTCATAAAATGACAAAACTTTGTTAACAAAAAGATGATTGTCCAAACAATAGATTAAAAAACATAATTTTTTTTCTTTAATAGAAATAGAATCCTCTGGTTCTCACCTCACAATTTAGCACTAGTATCAACCAGATCATATTTACACAACCATCTTAACAATAACGATAATTTTTATTTATACTTACCAACAATTTTATTTTCTGTTGTAGAAAGATTAGGAAGAGATGCAGGTTGCTGCTCTATATTGTTGATATGTTTTTCTTTTGATGATGATGACGATAAAAACTTGCTATCACTATATTTATAAGTCGGAGAAAAATGTTCAAACTGAGCAGTTCTAACTGAAACAATAGGTGTTTGGCTTTGTTCACTCATACGAGCTAGTTCACTTTGATAAAATTTAGTACGTTCCATTGATTTTTCTACTAATTGTCCAGATTCAAATAAATGAAGACGCTGCGCTACTAAATGTAAAGAAGAAATTTGATCATTATCTGTACAGTTTCCTGAGGATTTATTCTTATCTAATGAATCAATACTGTCAAATGAATGATTGTTGACTTTTATCATTTTATGATGAATATGAGGTTTCACTTTTTGGTATTTTCCTTTTATAGTTTTATGTCCAGCATAAATTGAACTATGAGAGTTATGTAATGTTTCTGAACTAGTAGTTGGTAAAAGTTTTTCTGAGCTACCATTAGATGATACAATATTAACTTTAGAATCACTATTAGCCTTTCTTGGATTTAAAGATGACTGAGTTTCTGAGGAAAATAATTTAAAATCTGAAGGATGTGCTACCAATGCTTTCATTGTTCTTGAAATTAAAGTAGCAATTCCTCCTGATTTATGATCTTGTTTCTCATCACTATCTCCTAAATCACTTGAATAATGTTTATGAGAATCAAAAGAATTATCTAAATTAAGAGAAGTATCTTGCCTTGTATCAGGATGATACCACATATCATAGAGTAATTTTGAAAGAGTATCGTGGAATCTATGTGGTCTAGCAGATGAATAACTTGATAATGTTGTATGACTTCCACCAATGTCAACTGATTTACATGATCCTTCCCAACTAGATGCAGTTTCATCAAATACATATTTTTTTGCTTGTTCTCTAGAAGTATCTGGCAAAGAAACACTTTCTCTACAACATAAAACATCTTTCAACTGTAATTTAGAAAGATCTTCTTGCACATCCCAATTATCACTACTTTTCTCAGCTACTGGAAATTCTGAGGACTTTTGATGTATTTCAGTTACTTCACTTTGTTTATTTGAAGAAACTTTCTCATCCTTTTCCAAATGATTTTTATTTTGCACACTATCATCATTTGATGTTTGTAATTCACTAATTTTTTGATCATTTAAAGAACTCCAAGGTGTAAAATGTAACTGAGGATGTGTTGATGATGTTGGTTCTCGTTCTACTGGCTGATATGCTGAACTTGCAAAATACTAGAGATAAAATAAAAAAATTTTTTAAAAATATTAATTTAATGAATTTTATTAGTTAAACAACAAAATTTTAATCTTACCACTTGCAAAATATCATCTTCTTTTGGAACAACTAACATTTGTAATGAATTTCCACTAAAAACAAAAATAAAATATATAATTTGAATATTTAATACAAAAATAATTTATTAATGAAATAAATATTTAAAAATTTAATTTATATATAATTCATAAATACATAAGCAGTGATTTGATCTATATGAACTCTTATATTATATAACATGTATAAAGTAATGTGTGGGCTATGTGTGTCTTAGTTTGGACAAATAAAAATAGGTAACATTTAGAATTGAAGAAATATGTTATAACATTGATTTTTCAATTCAACCAGGTTAAGATCAGGTTCAACCCAGTAGTTGAATTGAAAACCAGTGATGTACCCAGAATTGTGGAGTTGGAGTCAAGAACTCAGTCAGAAGCAAATCCATTACTGGAGGAGTTAAAATCAGTAAAAATGGACCAACTATGACTTGTGTTTTTGTTTTATTATGTACTTTATATTACATTCTTAATAGGCATGTTAATCTCTACCTTGCAATTTAGGAGCCTCCTTAAATACAACATCTTATTTATGATTATTCCCCTATTTCATGATCTTTCTTTGCATGTCATTAATTACTGTTGATTTTATTTTCAGAAATTTTATATTTGAATACATTCTGTGCTAGCTAATTCTAAATTTTTATTGTCAAAAGATTCATACAAAATGGCTAAAACAACTCAGTTAAATCTAGTGTTTTTCAATACTTTACTAAAACTACAGATGCAAAAATTGTGTGTCAATGTGTGGTTGAAAATGATGATGATGATGATATTGGTAATAACAAAAAACTTTGTATAAAAAAAAAGGTAAGTATCTTCAATTTTGATAGGAATGCAGGGATGTAGCCACAAATTTCTGTGTGGATCACCTGCATAGCTGATGGCTTGATTAGTCTTGAATAAGTGGGTAGGCTACCATAAAAATACAAGTCTACAATCACTAGCAACACATTATTGTGCAAAGACTGCCATGCCAATATGGGCAGTTCTTTGCATGTCATATGCAAGCCATATGCAAACCAGTGGTACACATGACAATGCTCAATAAAAAAGAAAAGTCTGAACAAGAACAAGCATTGAATTTTATTCTTCTTTACCTCGTGGCTGTTCATGTAGCCTAGTATTTGAGTCCAATGCATCTGTTTTCTGTTTCATCTAATAATCAATTATTTGTGATATTCTGTTTTTACATTGTTTAGTTTTAAATTTAAGTGAAGTGGCAATAGGGATTGGCAGAAGAGTATTAGTGTAGGAAACACCACTCCTTGCAACAACATCCCTGGAATGTCTGATGATTCACTTAAAAAATACATTAAAAAAATAACCTGATATTCACTTGGTAGTGATGAAATTCTATTTTGGGTTAATAAAATTAAAGTATATTTTAAACTATTCTTTAAAGGAAGGAGTCTGAATTGGAATTGGACATTCTAAAATTCTACAAGTTGAAATCTGAGTCAGACTTAAAATTCTTTGAGTCAAAGTTGGAGGTGGAATTAAGTCTTCTGACTCAACAGTCCTGGATATTCAATATATATATATATACTATATATACTGTATTTACTCACATATAAGACAAGGTTTTTATTCATTTTTCACTGCGTCAATAACCTAGGTTGTCCTATACGCATGAGTGAAGAATTCATTTCGTTTTTGCAATAATTTTTGTAAACTGTATATTCGCATTTTTTTTTACCAGATTCTCACTTTCTGGTGTTTAAAAACAAAAGTATTTTATCTGGGTTGTTTGAATCATTCTTGTGTATTATCAGGAGTAAAGATGAATAGTAATAGGAAAAGCAAAGCTTTTGAATTGAATTTCAAAATTACAAGGGAGTCCGATATAAGTTTTAATTCATTCCCACGTAAAAACAGATGATTATTTGGAAATCAGAATTTGGAGAAACTCGTAAGTGTAATCAACGAAGAGTGAATTCGACTGTTAAGAATTGGCAAAAAAGGTTCCCAATAATTGTCCAGCTTTACATGAACAAATTATGTTGTCAATTTTACAAGATTTTTACTTGAAGTTTAAAATGCCAGTAATTTTTAACAATGTGTGCATTTACCTGCATTTGATATTTTATTTGTGATTAAACTAAATAAAATTAGAATTGTATTAATAAATCTAATGTTTCTTTATTTTGATCTTTAAAGTCATACCTCCTCCTATATACAAGATCGTCTTATACTCGAGTAAATATGGTATTTTGAGTGTAACATAAAAAATTTATAGTATTAATTGACAAATATATTTTAAAATTCACCTTTTGTATATAAGATCAATTACTTCTGAATATGTTTTTCCAGCTAAAGGTTCTCCATTTATAGTAATAATTCTGTCACCTGTAACTAATCCTGCTTTATGAGCTGGGCTACCTTCTTTAACTTCTCTGACAAATATTGTGTCCATTGGTTCTATTTTATCTTTCTGCCATGGAGCTTCTTATAATGAAAAAATATGTTAAATTTTAAAACATTATATTAAATATAATAAAAATTACTTTCTAGTCTAATTAATTTCTAATGTAATTAATAAATTATATTAATAATACACCTTTTCAATATTATAACAATATGAATATTGAAAAAAGTTTAGGCACTATATATTTAAGGCAGAAATTTGATTTTAAGTGAAATTTATATATACAGACAGACTGAGCATCAATTGAAAACAAAAGATTTAATAAAGTTGTTTCAGCAGATGAATTCTGTTTAATATAGAATTAAAATAGACAACTTATTTCTATGATTTGGTGTCATTTATTTCTGATTTAATTCTATACCAATTTTATAAATATTTTTCAAGAACAGAAAACAGAATAATATAATTCAAATGTTTGAAAAAAGGAAAAAATCCTTTCACATTATACTAATAATTTATTTATTTATCTGCACTAATGTAATATAGTTTGTCCAACAAAAGATGAAAGGTTTAGCTAGCATGTTAAGAAAAAATTTTGGTACTTTTGGGTTAAGACAGGGGTCGGCAACCTGCGGTTCGCGAGCCACATGTGGCTCTTTGGAAGTGAAGCTGCGGCTCTTTAGTTCCATACGCAAATATTATTTATTTTATCAAAAAAAAACATTTAAAAATCGTTCTGAATCGATTAACGAGGATTCGGCACCGATTCTATCTCTCAGCCACTTGTACTCGCTTTTCATCGCACCCCTCCCCCGTGACACGCGTCGTCACTGTCGTCAGTTTGTCGGAAGCTCTCGAATGACGCCATCGTCAGATGTTTCTATGAGGATTAATTCGCTTTCGACGCAAGACAATTCTGAATAAATAGATTAGCTTTTTTTTTTATCAAAAAACTTTATTTATGCCAGTACTATTTGTTGTTGGAAGAAAAAATTTTGTGGCTCTTTAAAAACTTTGAAATTTTGTAAATTGTAATTTTTGGCTCTTCCGGCTCAAAAGGTTGCCGACCCCTGGGTTAAGAGGATGTCAATCAAAAATAGCATTTTTTCCAAATAATGCAATTTTTTATTTGTCAAATTTAATACAATTGTTAAATTAAACAATAAATTACGATTTATAAAGATATAACAAAATCTCACAAATTCTAATAATAAACCACTTGAATATGCAAATTGTTTTGTAGTGTATACAGCAAATATGGCAAATAGGTGATATCTATAATCATCGTAATTGATTTTTTTTATTTTTACAACCTTATCAGTAAATTTTCTTCTTTTTAGATTTAAATTTACTAGTCTATTGTTATTTTGATATTTTCATTCAAAATCGCGACTTTGATCGCTATTTCCGACTGGCGTCCTCTTNATAATTTAATAGTAATATATATATACAAAATTATTATAACTATAAAATAAATTATATTAAATTATAAAAAATATTACTATTATTTACTATGGTTTTGACTATTGATTAACACTTATTATAAATCTATACTCTCTAAATATTTAATATTAAATATTTTGTTAAGATTTCAGTTTTCTTATTTTTATTTTTGTGTTGATTTTCTAATATGTTTTTATGATTTATGCTTCAAATTTTATTTTTGAAAGTCTTTTAATGATTTGGCTACTCTTTATTAACCATTTTAGTCCTAAAAAGGACTAAAAATAATCCTTAATTAAAAGGACTCTTTTAAAAAATGCACAGTCAAGCTTAGGAAGTTTCAAGAATATCTATACTCTGAGTTTATCTTCACTATTACAGTCGACCCCCTATAACACTGTTGATTATTCTGTTTTATATGAATTCCATGTTGTACCAGTCACTTAGATTTTACAAATATGTGAACCATTCACAGCCCGGCACATTATTTGTAAAATCTAAGTGACTCATACAACATGGAATTCATATAAAATGGAATAATCAACAGTGTTATAGGGGAATTGACTGTACTGGTTTCTTCATCTTCAAAAATGATAATTAATAGTTCAATACACTCTTCTATTAAATGATTGAATTCCTAATATATCTGTTCGATATTCAGTGTATGTTTCACTGCATTTCTCCAGATACAAATTGTAACAGTTTCAGTGGCAGATAATGTGAATTTCTCCACATCAGTAAGTTTAAATGAAACATTTTTTGATTGAATCAATTTTTTTCACATATTATTAATTCTATAGGATTAAAATCACAATGAAGGTGCTCTTAAAATAGCATGTCTTTGAAAGTTCATTTCATCATTAACTTATTAATATATTAACCAAGAAACAAGATTTATTAACTTATTTTTCTATATTTTAATTGATGCTTTTCTGCTAAAATATAATTTAGTGAAGACTTCTTACCTCCCATAAATTAAATATTTTCATTTAACTTTTCTTTAATAGAAGAAAGTGTCAGATAATTACCTTCTCTAAAAATTTCTGAAACAGTTATATACAATCAACTGACAAACAGAAATCATCCAAATCTATAACTGAAGTCTTTGTGATCTTTTCTTTCCAAAAGTTGAAACTTTCTTTAATGAATCTGATTTTGTTAATATTATCAATGTTCTTACTTTTAGTGATAATCATTTTGACTATCAACAGAGATACACCAACACATTTTGACGTTTTATTATGCATGATTTGTTATAAAATTATTACAGAAATTGCTTTTAGCCCTAGGTATAATTAAATTAATTAAAATATCTATAACTGTGAGGGAGATAATAGTAAGGGCTTATCACAGCAATGATAATGGGCACAAATGCTCAGGAATCAAAGTAAAAACATTTAAAACAAAAACAGGGTGTACAATAATACATTCAGCACTTACTTCTTATCATTAGACAAGAAGTAAGTGCTGAGTGTAAATTGTCTGGAATAAATACAGATAGCCCTTGGTTTACGCCGGTTCAATTTGCACCGATTCACAATAATGCCGTTGCGCAATTCGCCGTTTCGAGGTGTAATTCCCCGATTTCCCCTATGCTAGACTGATTTTCATTTCAGTGTTGATGTATTTACTGAGCCGCGACATTGTACATTCATTAAAACAAAGCTTTTTATTAAATATATTTATTTTTTCTGTTTAATATTATTGGGTATGTATACATTTGCATTAAATTAATACAGTAGAGCGTCGATTTTCCGAATCAATTGGGGACTGGGGTTGTCCGGATAACTGATATTTCGGATAACTGATTTACGTACGAAAAAATAGTTTAACGTATCCGATGTCGAAATTTTTCTCCGTTGCGTGTCGCTTCGCGTTGAATTTTCGTCGATGTTAAGCCTAACAAAGACTATTGTATCGTTAAAAATTATTTTTTTATTTTGTACAAACAAAATAAATATATT